ATTCCTTCTTTCTTGTTTGGGAAAAGGAAGGTTTCTCAACCAACCCAACCTTAAAATCTAATATGGCTGCCGCAACTTTAAGAGGGAGTGGTATGGCGCAGAACGTTAATAGACGCTAATCAGCACACCACACCAGAACGATGAGTTGAACTGAGACAGACGAGACATCTGGACTTCAGGTGTAGGTAGCTTCATCAGAGGCCTCTATGTGAGCTGTTTAACAGAAAATAATGTGGATGCATTTTGAGAAGTTTGTCTGATGCCACCATTAACTGCAGTAATGGCTGATGCAGTGATTTATTAAAGATACACGGCAACAGAAATGGAAACAATTATCATACAGTGCAACAACCTCTATACTGAATGTGCTGCTAAAGGTTTGCATTGCTAATAGCATTAACTTGGTCACTGATAACAGCAACTGGTGAACTCACTGGTCTTTGAAGCTGATACTTGAGCACTGATACTGATTTCAGAGGTAAATAGAACAAGGTATGCAACATATAGGCCACCAGCACCTGGAGCTTCCTAAAATATCCTGTAGATACTCTACAGCACTTTTCTTTGAAGCAGTTTTCAACTAGAGACCAATGTGACTGAACTTACCTTTTCAGATGTTAGGTTTATTAGTTCTACCTCATAGTTTGTCTTCGTACTTGAGCTGGGTTTCCACTAAACCAGCTCAAGTACGGCCTCCGTTTTGTTGAAGGTTATCTTCTATTTCAAGTAAGTGAAAAAAAACCAAACTAGTATAATATGTTTATTTTTGCGGTCAAACAGAGCCATCACTATTATGTGTGTACTTTAAGCTCTCTGGTGAACATCTGGATATATTGCGCAGTTTAAACCATTAGTTTGCATACACTGAATATGCAAACTTTTTATTTACTCTGAAATTAAATCTGACAAAACTTTTTAATTTTTAGAATTACTAAAATTATTTCTATTTGCCAAACCAAAACCTGATCATCTCTGGGTCACAGAACCCGTCTCCTTCCTGAGCGTTTTGATGACTGGACATTCCCATAATGTCTGTACTTGTTTATAAATGTTTGATCAGATAAATGAGACACCTTCAAGTATGTGGAAATTGTTCCCGAAGATGAACCAGACTTGTGCAGCTGCCATAATGAGTCAAGATATCTCTTCCTGGTATCTTGGTTGGTTTCTATTGACTTTCCCCATCATGTCAAACAAGAAAGCAGTGTGTATCAGGTGTGACTCAAAACTCAAGGGCTTTGAGCTTCCAACTAACTCAGGTGTGTCAGTTCACATATCAGAGCTTTCCAAAGCCACATCATCATCATCTGGGTTTTTTGTCATTGTTTTCAAAGTTTTAGTTTTAGACATGAGTAAGTAAATCTCTAACATATTTTTGTCATGAGGTGTGGCTTTATGGTAGAACCAAAATGCAGACATGAAGTGGGAACATGGATCATATCAAGTGTTTAATGAAAAAAAATATCAAGGAGTTCAAAAATCACAGGAGCGAAGACAAAACTCAAATAATAAATTCAACAAACCAGGGAAACACAGAGTTGACGTGAGGATCCGACGAGTTGTGGGTGAGACAGAGGACCTTAAATACTAGGTAGTTGTGAGTATGACAAAAGGACATGGCTGATGACTTAATAGATAACAGGTGTGGGTAGTTGGAGCAGGGATCAGGCTGAGGGGAGGTGAGAATGAGGCACAGGGAGCTGGGGAGATACACAGGGGAACACAAAAGAGAGGGAGGAAACACAAGGGAGCTGAAAATAAGTCTAATATTAAAGAAACACTAAGACTATAGAAAACATGATAAAGAAAGAAACAGAGACATGAGGGGAAACTATTAAAGAGCTAAACAGAAACAAGGCTGATTTAAAAATAATAAGAACTCAAGAACACAGAAACTAGAGTAACCCAAAGGACTAACAAAGAAATAAACCTAACTAGAATCACCAAGGATGGACATACGAAGACTCTGACATAGAAGAATAACTAAACCTAGAGTAAGAAGATAGCTATGAACACTATGAGCTGAAATAAAGAAACACATGAAAAAGAAAGATCTAACAAGAAATCAGTAACAACAAATAAGATATCAACAAAAAGTGAACTAAAACAATGGTAAGTAAGAAGATGAACAGCAAAACCAAACCCAAAAAACCCAGAGTCTTGACAATTTTCTCTCTCATTATTGTGACATTTAGCAAATAGAAATAATTTTGGTAATTCAAACCAACCTAAATTAAGAGAAGTTTGGTCTGATTTAACTTTATCCAATGAGGAAATATATGTTTGTGTCTTTTTATTCCACATCTATAAACTTTAGGTTTCTACTGCATCTCTCTAGCACGTCTATTAAACATATTTCTTAATTAATTGCTAACCATCAAGAATTAAGATTTAAATTCCATTAAATTAGGAGAACAAGCTGCTGTGGGCATACTGCATAATGACGTGGAAAAATTAGCCCAGTCAGTTTTACCATTAAACAAGTAAGACATGGAAAACCATCCAAGGATCTAAAAGATTTCTGAATGCACTTCCTGCCCGCTCTGGCTTTGTGCATAACTCTGACCCATATTCACTCCTGCTACTTACCGAGTCTGTGAACTTCTCGATGGGGCTGGGCAACCGCAGCCATTGAGACAGCCATGCTCAAAAGGTGAAATTAAGGCCAACCGTCTCTCTTTTTCTCTCTCTCAGCTAAATCAGAAATCTACAGCAATTCACAGGAAGCAGTTAGTAGCACAGCGTTAGATTTGACACATGCGCCAATCAACAATGAATTACATTTAGAGGCAATGATAATGAACAACATGCAGAGAATTACAGCACATATTAACAATGACTTGCAAAATTATTCATGCCCACTGATATAATTGTTTTTTTCCAGATTTTATTACACAAAAAACATAAACTTCAGTGTATTTTAGTGGAATATTATGTGGCCGACCAACACAATATCAACTGTTTCTTAATTCCCCACCCCCCTAAAATTAGAAGTCTGAAAAGTACAGTGTACAGCCTTATTTACTTTGGTAGTCCTAAATAAAATCCAGAGCATCAAACGTATTTTAGAAGTTAACATTTTTTTGTATCTCAGTATAAACACAGCTGTTCCATTAAGGTTTGGGGCAGATGCAGCGGCCCGTTTGCCGTTTACGCAAACAGAGGGAGCCTCAGGCCTTCCTCTGAGGCAGATTATATCGATGGGTTGGTCCAAATGGTTTTCCACTTGGACCTGCTTCCTTCAAGGACGTCTCCAGCTGGCACTCACTGAGCGTCTGTAATCAGAACTGTGACTATAATAATAATAACAATAATAATAACGGAGGAAGTTGGGTTGCAGTCTGAGAGAGGAATTCAAATGATTGTTTGAATCCTGTTGTTCACTAATGTTTGAGAACATTAGTGAACAAACAGGATCATAAAGACCAAGCCAAATACCTCAGACTGAGGCATAGGCCAGGCAATGACCCAAAGTGAGTCCCTAGTTCTAAATCCTTTCTGACTACACTTGGCAATTCTTATTTTGCAAAGATGTATAATCACAAGGGACTAAATTTGCAATAACTGCAAATTTAGTCCCTGAATGTGCAAAGCTGGTTGAGACATAACTCAAAAGACTAGGCTGCAACTAATGCTTAATTTTACTGTACTTAAAATAAATAAATAAATAAAAATAATTAAATCCTGCGGACTGTCTATAAAAAGTACAAATAACTCTTCAGGTTTTTTTGTAAAGAAAAAAAAGATACTATCTTATCTACTACTTTGTTCTGGTCTATTGCCTAAAATCCCAGGGAAATACACTGAAATGTTTGGTTGTAACATGAAGAAAGGGCTTTGAATACTTTTACAGAAGTCATTTTGTGAACTACATAAAACATAATCTACTCTACAATGATGATGTAACTATGAAAGTCGACAATAACTGCAATTAAATCAATTACTGAAGCTGTTGAATTACAGTAATTTTGAGATGTTTTCTATAAGCTGGACCAATTTTAGTAAATTACCCATATACATGACAAGGATGCAGGAAAGGATCTGAATACAGCTGAAAGCTAAACAGGTCACCTTTTTGTAATGCAACTTTTAAGAGTTTTGTCCCAATAAAAGACAAAAGTAAATTTTTACTCTCACGATGTTTCTTGTAAACTCTTTAAAATTAAACAACCTTTAGCATTTAAGAGGCCCAGCAGGTTTGTGTATGACTCCATCACGACAAGGCAGCGCAGGAGCAGAATGTTTTGCTGAGGAGTCCCAGCGAACCGAGACCCCCAGTAAAGCTCCTAAAATAGCGCCAAAGCTTGGCTCATGAAAACCCCTGACCTTTCCTGCTTGTACCATCACCTCGGATCTGAACAGGTTGAGAGTACAAACAGACTAGAGTCAGGCCCGAGGTTGCCGGGCTTTCACACACAAGCTGTAGCAGTGCAGACACCGCCGGGGCGCGCCATTCAACGTGAGATCGTGCAAAGTAAATGAGTCAGACCTGATCTCTTTGATCGGGCTTTAAATTCCAAGAGTTTCCATCCGACATCTGCCAGACTCGCCATGTTTACTCTCAGTCAATTCCGCCAGGACATAACAACGTTTCTGCTTTTTGCCCTTCAAAGTAAAACGTCTATAGCTGTGATTTACAGTCAAAATGAGAATATATTACATTTTAGTGAATTTGGAGGAAAACTTAGAAATTAAGTATTTTATGGTATGAAAAATGTTGAGGTTTAGTTTTAAATGTTCAGCTTTAAGAATGAAATGCACTTATTTTGAAGAGCAACAGCAACGCTTCCCTTGCTACTGTTCTCCAGCTTCAAATACCTGTTATTTTTAAGGCTACCAGTTTGCACGACATTGACGTAAATAATATAGTTACTTTATTAAATAATTTTGGCGTACTTTATGATTTTCTGGAAACTAACTGCTGATAAAAATAGGACAAAAAAATCTGTACAGATCTTTTGAAGAATACTTATTGTATTCAGAAGAAGGATGTGTTCCTTCTAGCCATAAAGCGATGTGCCGTATTCCGGTTGGTGGCTGTTGTGGAGCTGCACTTGTACCAGGATGCGGATGTTTACATTAAATACCTTTTTAATAACGTCTTTGTTACTTTTATTAGAGCAACAAGGCGTCTTTGCTCTTCAAGATGTAACTGCGGAGCTGTTCGGGAACAACAAGTATGGGACGGTGGCGGCGTTTGGTGACTTCAACTCGGATAAACAGACTGACATCTTTGTCATCAGAGAGCGTATGTAATACTGCTATCATGAGCGACCTAGCACACAGCTGGTCAGATGAATATAAATATACTTTTATAGTGATAAAAATAAATTGTCGGCCGATGTGTTGTTGTTTTCTGAGTATTAACATTCGAGGAGAAAGCATACCTTTAACTCCATCGCTTGTCAAATGGAAACTTCCTTATTTACTTAGTTTAAAAAATTACTACAAAATACATCCTTTTTTACAGCCGTAAATGCGCAGGTGGAATTTAGTAAATTAATTATGACCTCATTAAGCTATTGCAGTGATTCAGGAAGTAGACATAGTTAATTAAGCACACCTGTGGTGTTATCTGCTGTCACGAGACAAAAGTGTGCGGTCAAAGCTAGCTTATTTATTATTTTTAGTGTGAGAAAAAAAAGGAAGCGACATAAATTATTCAAGCTCACTGTAAGTAAAGCCAGTCAATAACAGAGCTTTGTCTGATAATGACTATATAAACCCTAAATGCTCTCTCTAAATAAGTTAAACGAATAAAATTTTTAAAAGCCTTTTTTCAAATCGAAATGAACGATTGCGAACAAAATTGGTTATGATGTTTTATGTTTTTATCATGTAAATCACTTTGAATTGCCTTGTTGTGGAAATGTGCAATCCAAATAAATTTGAGTTTTACTGGTAGTTTTTCGTGACCCTGACACAGAAACAGATGCAAACTAGGCCATTTAAGCTTTGATAATCAAAGCTGAGGCTCTCTAGACCTAATTCGGAAACAGAACCTTTGATTCTGATCTGAATCAAACACATAAAACATTAGAGAACTTTCAAATTTACCTGGAAATTTTCCAGATTATTATTTTTTTTGAGGGAAAAAAAAAAAACAAAGAACAGGAAATATAAATGGCAAAAACTCCAACTCGTGTTTACATATAAAGTTATTATTGTTTACTACATTTTACTACACCATAGATGCCAGTCATGCAAGTTTACACTCATCCGGCACAAATAATAAAAAAATTGATGTGAGTGTAAATGACATTTTAAAATAACTAGCATTGCCATGATTATGTTTGATTTAAAATGGGTTTTATCCACTTTTTAAGTAGTTGAAATCTGGAGAACTTTACTTCATATCGCCTACTTTTGAATATTTGTCAATGACTGGCTGCTGGTCCATACCAGGGGTTTGTTGTGGTGGGTAACAGATCTGTTTTAATTCTCTGTGTTATTTTCCAACTTTTGCAGAGTCTGAGTTGGTGATTTTCTTGGCTGACTCCAAATCTCCTTACTTCAAGCCCAAAGTTAACATCACCAAGGACATGTTGAAAAGGTAAATATTCTGAGAAATAATGTCTTGTTTTCTTTTGACACGTAATTATACAAGTGGTACATTCAATGTTTCTGTCTGCTGTATGCATGCACTTTGTTTTAGTGATATGATACATTCATCTCAGTACCCCTCTTTCCTTTTCCAGGGAGAAAATCACCAGTGTTGTTCCTGGAGATTATGATGGAGACTCTCAGATGGATGTCCTTCTGACAACTCAGAACATATCTTTAAAAACATCAGTTTTCATTTTCTGGGGAAACAACCACACAATAGGTAAATATTAACAATAAATGATAGCTTAGATTGAATCTAAGCTATCATTCAATCTAATGATTGAATGATAGCTTATCATTCAATCAGTTCAGTTCAATAGTTCTGAACTAGATTCAGAACTAGTTTCTGGAACTAGTTCAGAAACTAGTTTCTGAAACTAGTTCCCCCCCGTCCCCCCAAAAATGTATGTTATAAATACAGTAGTGTAAAATGAGTATTTTTGCCGTCTTACGGTTTTCTTCAGGTTTTGCTTTTTCCTTTAGTCACAGTTTGAGTTTTCACATCATAAAAAGTATTAATTTTGGAAAAATATTATCTAAATAATAAAAACAGACAGTTTTCAAATTATTGTCCTTTTCATCAAGGGTAAAGAAACTAATAAAGTCCTCTACTATATGAAAAAAGTAGCTAGTTTTCCTGCGGTTAGCAGGAATCAAGAGTTTCTGATAACTGGCAATGAATGTTTAACATCACAACTCAGTATGAAGAGCGTTTTTAAGGTCATATCATATTACCCAGATTATACTGAAGTCCAGACTTTGACTAGGCCACTCCAAAACCTAATTTTGTTGGGGTTTTTAGTCATTTACTAATGTGCTTTGGCTCATTCTCCTGCTGTATAACAATTGGTGGAATTGGGATAATATGGTTGGACTTCCTTCCTGAAGGATGTTGTGGTAGAAAGCAAAATTTGTGATTCGATCAGTTACGGTAAATCGTCCAAATTTCGAGGAAGTAAAGCGGCCACTAATCGTCACACTACTAGCACTGTGTTTGACTGTTGGTGTGATGATCTGTTTCTGAAATGCTTTCCTAGTTTTAGGTCAGACGTAACACGGCTCACATGTTCCATAAAAGTTAATCTTTTGTTTTGTCAGTCCACAGAATATTTACCCAACAGTCTTGAGGATCAAAAAGATGTATTTTGGTAAATTTAACAAGAGTTTTTATGTTCCTTTGGATCAGCAGTTTTAGCTTTGAATATCTCCCATGGCTTCAACTTAGCCCCATCTCTTATTATTAAACAATGAACCTTGACATAAACTGACTAACCTGAGGTCTGCAGAGCTTTAGATGCTGTTTTAGACTTCCTGGTTGGATAGTTGGTGTGCAGTTAGTGTAATTTTGGTTGAACAACCTCTCCTATGAAGGTTCACCACTGCTGGATATTTTTCTCTGGTTGTGAATTTTGGTTTGCTGGTCTTCCAAAGTTTAAAAATGGCTTTCTAACCCATTATAACCTTCAGTAACTACTTTTTCTTTTAGATGACACGTTGCTTTTTGAGACCTTTCAGGTGTTGGGGAGCTTTCCAGAAAATTACTTTAATCAGAGTTAATTTATGATTTAAGAAAGGGCTATAGCTTTTTCTTCCAGGTTTGGATGCCTTTTAGTTCACCTTGTTGAATGAAATCATAATTTGAAACCTTGTTTTTTTAATTCCACTCAGGTTATTGTTGTTTTACAGCAACATTTGAGGTCTGACAGAAAAGCAAAAGCAGAAGATGTCATTAAGGGGGTAAACTGTTTTCCACCTCCTCACTGGATGCATTTAGTTTAAATATATTGTGAGTGATTGCATATTTTTGTAGAACTAGAGCATGATAAGATAGATGTTCTTATCATGCTTTTCCCACAATTTTTATGACAGATTTTTTCTAGTATCCAATAAGTGACTCTGCACTATAAATAGTTGAAAATTTTTGTATGTTTCCAAATCTCTCATATACACACTTTATGTTTCACTTGTGTTGTTAATACAGTACAGCTTGTGTTTCCATATTGTTGAGACAAATCCAGTTTTTTGATTCTCCCCTGATTTTCTTTGTTGTTGTTTTAACGTAGGACCTTCTGTCATTTTTCAGCATGAAAGTAAATTACATCTTTAAGCAGAACTGGATTCTGTACAATCCTGATCAAAGCATTGAGAGGAGAAAAACGATTCTCCCGTCTGGTATTCATATTTTATTCTACTGGATCATAATCGGGTTAAAAGTTGAGCTCCAATAGCAAAAAAATCCAGAGACAAGCCAAACAATTTAGTTAATTTATTAAAAATCTAATTTAAACTGGAACACGGTGCTCGTTATCTAGTCAGCAGTTTAATATAATTAAAAAATCATCTTTAACAAAAAAAGCCTAAAATGAAATGAAACCTATAAATGTGAAAATGTGACAGGTCACAATGCATAGCAGGGCTGTCAAACCCATTTTCATTTTGGGCCACATCAAGATCAACAATGTATTTAAATGGCCCGTTGTAGTAGACAGTATTGATAAAACTACCTATTAACAAACTGTTAAAATATGAATAAACAGCTGTCTTTGCATTTGATTAAAACTAAACATAAACTAAACAATTTAAACATATCAAACATCTTTTCAGATTCATGTGATTTGGCAGAATACAGGGTCTCCACATATCCTTAAAAAATCTTAAATTTATGTATTTAAGGCATTAAAAACTATAAAGTTTGCCTTAAATACGCTTACATTTCGTTGTGGCAGGACTATTCAGTCTTGTAAGTAGGTATTTTGTTTGTTTGTTTTTTTGGGGGGGATTTTCTGTCAGGCAAAAATTTGAGTCACACTTGGACATCTTTTTTGCCTTCGGTGACTCGAAGTGGTCGTTAAACAAGCTGCTAATAGACCCTTTCTAGTTAGCTAACTTTTTTAAATGTCTTTTATAGATAAGTGTAAATGTATCACTGGTTGTTGTTTTTACCACCGGCTCGCTTCTCTTGCCAACCCATAAGAACCAGCAGGATCTCCAAATGTCCCCTATATTAACAGATTTTTTGGTGTTAAATTTCATTCAAACTGGCATTTAAAAGGTCTTAAGTCTTAAATTTGACTTGCTGCAGATTCATTGGCTGTCATTTAATTGACAAAATAATTTTTAAGCATACTGTTATCTCAAAGGTTCTATTTCTAGAGACTACAGGGCCACATAAAACATCTGGCGGGCCGGATCTGACGCATGTGACGTAGATAAACCAGTTTAGAGCAAACAGAAATGTTTTCAGGGATGATTGCCTTCCATCAAGAGTTCTGCCCCTTGCAACATGTCAACATATCCTGCAGCTGCTTGATGCCTCTGAACAACCAGAAGCTTTGCTCTTCTGTTGAATAAATGGATTTTCCTTAACTCTGCTGTGCAGAAAGTAGAAAATTCTTGTCATGCCAGTGAAACGGAAAACTTTCAAAAGAGTGTGTAATAATTTACTCTTTAGAAAATCAAAATTTCTTTCACCTTTTCGGGTCCTATGCTTGGGAAAGTTCAAAGGGGCAAATTTTTGGAGTGGGAGAAAACATATTTTGTTCTTTAATATGCCATCTTCTGGTTTTTGGGCCACAGTCAGCATCAGTAAGGGCTTTAACTTAGATTTGGGATTTGCCTGTGTCTTCCTGGAAACCCCACTGGATCTGCTGGATCAGTTCAGGACCTTTTATTCACCTTGCAAGAGATCTTAGTTGTACAGCTCAGCAGTCCTCTGGAAAATCTTTTTCCCTTTGCTATCTGGGGTTCATGAGAGAGAATATCTGACAAAAAAAGGACATAAAACTCAAATGTCTGCACATATGCTGCCTTTTAGGGCCACAGATTAGTATGGTTTAAGTTTAAATGTAGTTTTCAATCATTTGTCTGTTGCCTTTCTCCTGTTTAAGTCTCATTTTACCAGTCAGACTCTGCTGCCTTTTTGTTCACCTTTGTAACTCATGACCTTCCTTCTTTGTTTCTTTACTGCAGAAACCTCTAAGAGGCATACCATGAATTTAACCTTAACAGATCAGCCTCTTGTTATGGAGTAAGTATTAGTTTCAAGGTTTTTCAGATACATTATGCTGTGAATATTTTAAATACTAATTGCAGGAATATACTAATGTCCCTAATGGGTTTTTCTTTCCCACAGTTTCAATGGCGACATGATTCCAGATGTCTTTGGGGCGATCACGCCTCCCCAAACTGTAGTCTGCTATCTTACCAAAAGGTGAAAGTAATAATACCTTTCAAAATGCACATTTCTTAGCATTGTCATTAGCTGCTACTCACTAATTTATTCAGAATAATATAAAATCATGTTTTTTTCCCCTACTTTAGGATTCAAGAGTGCAGGGATGATTTTAATAAATCAATCATAATGCGCACTCCTCACTCTAATGCTTTCATTGACCTCAACAAGGACTTCACTGCTGGTGAGTAACAGATCATTTATCAAGTTTCCAATAAGAAAAAGATGAAAAATGTGTTTTGTTTGACAGCTCAAACCAACTACTTTATGTTTGTCGGCTAGAGAAGCTGAATGAATGGTAGTGGAAACATAGAAAGCTGCACTTTGCGTCTCCTGATCAGTGTTTAAGTTTTTTTTCTTGGGTACTTATCATGTTTATTATTATTTTTGTTTTAAAATAGTGACTGTAAAAGCATCTGATTCTGTGGTCGTATTCCTAAAGCAGCCCTGCTCCCCACACAGCTGTAACCGGAGCATTTCAGTAATAAATACTGACAGCTCCAAAATTACACCAAGACTGACTACAGGCAGAAACCTTAATACATCTGCCTGTGAGTGTTGTTTTCTATTAGACTGGTGATGACAGTGCTTGTTGTCACTGAGATTAGTACAGTCAAATTGGATGTTTTGTTCTCAGATTAGCTTAAAATTGATTCTTGGACAACTTACTCGCATCACTGAAGAAATAAAAACACAAATTGTTTATCAGATTTTGCTAAGGACTTCAACATGTGAAAGTTAATTCATCACATAGATTTTAACATGTTGAAAATTTTTGATTAAAATCTGTTTTTTTTAGCTTATACAAGGTTCAGAGGTTAGCCATTGTGTTCATGTGAACAGGTTTTTCAAAAGTTCTAGTTTGTTTCACACAGTGCAGTGTGAAAGCAAACCGCAGCAGCTGAAAATGTAACAAATGTTGCAACTTTGGTCCTCAATCAAACCCAGTCTACCAGACTACCAGGTGTGAAAACACTCTTATGCCATTCTTCCTTGGAAAACTGTTCAGGCTTTGTCAGGTTGCATGTGGATTGCCTTTGAACAGTCCTTTTCAAGTCCTGACACAAATTGTCTTAGGATTAGCCCTGGGCTTTGACTGGGTCATTCCAGAACAACCACCTTGTTGTCTCTAAACCCTTTCTGTGCAGCTTTGTGTTATTAACTTGCCGGAAGTTAAATGTTCTCCAAAGCAGATGGAAACTCCATTCATTTCACCTTCTCCATTTGCTGAGAAGCATCACCAAAGCATGACACTGCCACTGCCGTGCTTCACGCTGGAAATGGTGTGTTGGTGGCAATGCACATTTGCTGTCCGCCGTTTTTTGTTTTGTAGAAATCAGATTTCACTTTGACTTTAAGGGGATTTTTGTCGTTTTTTTCTTTTTAGTCAAAAAAGCCAAAAAAGCCATGATCAACAAAAATCATTTTGTTGATCATGATTGATTTGCAAAAGCAATAAAAATGCCTAAACATCCGAGGGGTGGAATACTTTTTATAGCCACTGTACAATTTGAACCTGTATATACCAATCAGTAGAGCAGGGGGATCTTTGTGGTAAATCTATAACATTTTATGCCCTTTTTACTTTGCATTGGACAAATGTGTAGCGGAGATATGAGACAATTAATTGGATAAATCTTAAAAAAAAAAAAAAAAAGAACAATTACACATCTGGTGGGTTTTTACTCCTGGCTGCTGCTGTTTGTGAGGGGTGGCTTACAGAATGCAGGAAGAAAACAAAAGTGGGAGAGAAAAGCAGGCAGGAAGCGATGGAGCGATAAAGCTCAGCTGGAAAGGAGAGATGGTTTGAAAGAAGAGGATGGCTGGAAAGATAAAAGAGGGATGTGAGGGGGGGAGAGCTTTTAGAAAGGCTCAGTTCACTGTTGGTGGAGGCCACCTGCTCCTCTAAGCGCTACCGGCTGGAGCGTCACAGAATGGAGCAGGGAGAGCTTGAGTCTCTAAGATGGGCAGGTTTGTTCTTGTCAGCTGGTTCTCCCTCCATCGGATGATGAGAGTGTTTGCTGTGCTACTGAAAAAAAACCCTGACAGTAAATTTTTAGATGTAGATTTCAGTAGCAACAACATAGTCCCCAGATTATATGTTGAAAACAAATTCATATCATTCTTTTCAGATTCTTATCTGTACCAACCTTTGCCACGTTTCCTGTTTTTCTTTTTACATCTATAGCCTTTTTATGTTTTAGTCCATCACAGGAAATACAAACACTGAAGTAAATACTCTGACAAAAGCTGGAAAGGTTCAAGAGATAGTAACAGCCAGCACCCAGAGGTACTGTCTAACAGCTGCTTTGTCTTTTACCTGCTGGGTATTAAGTATTGTACCTTCAATTTTTGATTGACATATCTTTTTGCGCAAAAATGTGGATGCCTATCAGGATTTCTTACAAAGAAGCTGTTGGACTGAATTAATTTCTCCTATTGTGCTTGAAGCCACATACTAGTAGTCAGTTTTTTAAAAAGTAAAAGTGAAAACAGCCCACAACCACTCTTAAAATAAGAACTCTCACATAAGAAGAAACATCTGGGTCATGAAGTTTCTGTGTTGACAGCGTTTCTTTTTTTTTGTGCAAATCTGCTGGGATAAAAGGAGTAGGCGGCCTAAAATGTAGACATCTTTATAAATTAATCTGCATGGATATGTTATTTACCAGCGAGTCAGAAAGCATCCCACTGAAACTAAACAGAGTGTGAATTGATATTTGTTGTTTTAAAACTTTTCAATTGCTTTGACCCTTTACCAGTGCAAATCTTTATCTTATGATTTTAATCAGTGTGTTTCCAGGGGGAAACGGATGGCGTACCCCATCCGACCAAACAGAGAAGCAACACACTCTGGTCTTTTACTGGTGCCACTTAAGAACAGGGAGAGCGGTTTCACTGCAGTGTCAGGACTCCAATCCTGGTCTGCTCAGTGCTGTCACTGTAAACAGTTTCATAATGGTATATTGGCTGACCCCACTATATCAGCAGTTCCAGCTATGGAAGGAAAAAAAAAACTGGAATTGTTTCCTTGTTAATGTCATGGCCTCATTTAGCCTGCTTATTGGTCTCTCTGGCCAAGCAACCTGGCGGTGACAGTGACATATAGCATACGGCCCATAATCTTTTCATAGTGTCATCTTTTGGCAGCCATTACCTCTAACAGCAATATATTCATATCAGATTAGTGTTTTTTTCCCTTTCTTTTACTGCCAGTTCATTTGTGTTTGTCAAACAAATCAAGAGACTTTAGACCTTAATAAACCTCATAGATGTTCTTGTTTTTTGACAAACACTTCCTGAAAACACTTGAAAACCGAATTGGTGTAATAACACTTTGCAACTACCTGATGGTTGGACAACTTAAATAACAGATTACAAAACATTAAATATCTTTATTGTTGAGTTCATCTGTCTAATTATTCAATAATTTAGCAGCAAAAAAGGATTTTTGGATTGAGAACGTTGCTGTCTTTGTCAATTATATGGTTTTCGATGAAAATGCGATATGCGATTAGTTACAGACTCTACAATTAACATGGTTCAAAATTTTAATCAAGTCCCACCACTAGATTAAAACCATGATATACATTAATACTGTCAATTGGCCTTCTCCTGTTATATTCAGGAAGCATCCCCCTATTTAGGTCTGCCATTTGAAGAGTGTTATTATGGCTCCAGGCGTCACAATCACGTGCCAGAAGAGAATCTGTGGAGCAGGAGACTACCAGCAGCTTGATTAGAAACTTTGTTGAGAGAAAATGTTGTAATTGTATAGTACTTATAGATGGTATTTTGTGAGAAAGGCATGCACAAAGACAACAATACTGGCATAAAGATTCATTGCTAGGCAACAGGGATGGTAATTCTCTGCAGCATCCAATTAAACTACCTCTGTGTTGAAGTGGCTTGTTGATTGTCTGACTAATATCATAGGGGTGGTGGGAGAAGAGAACAGATTTGCCACCTAACAAGGCTGGCCAAGAAGAACAGTTGCTTGTTCATGAATTATGTTTACATTTTGCAGGGCACTATAGCAGAAATTTTAGTTTTGCTTGTCATCACGCCTAAGGATATTGCATGAGTTTTAAACTCACCAGCAACCACAGTAGTAATGTCTGAAATATACTGCTTAGCATTTTCTGGTAAACTGTCTAAATGTCTTTCGCAGCCTCTTTAGCTCAGTAATCCCAGGGAAACTCTTCTGTGATTCCTCGTTTTGCAACTGTATGCTATCAAAAGAAGTTCAAAACTGGGAGGCTAATCCCTAATTCAGATTTCAACACACTTTAATTTCTAAAGATTCTCCCTCCAGGACTGATCCCCTTTCAGATCACAGGTCTGCAATAAACATGGTCCCACAAAACAACTATTATGTATCATTTTTTCCCCATTATATTATACAAGTTTATTTTAGATTGGAAATCCTGTGTGCTTTCAGAACAGGCAGTTGAGATTGCAGAACCAAGGGTAGTGACTTACAACTCACAGCATTCACCTGAGCAATATGTCTGAGGGGAATTTGCTAAATGGTTGAGCTTTTTAACTTCAATGTGTTAAATATATCCTAACTTGTGTATTTTCTTTAATAAGAATCTTTACGCTCTTGGGAAATCAATTTGATTAGGATTCAGAGGACGAAGATGATAAGTGGATTGAATACGTAACATTGACACAAGTACAGATCTATCACTGCATTTGTAACAAAAACTAGATCCTTCTTAGCAGAAAATGCTAGCTGCTCCCCATTAGAAAATGCTTTGCAGTAATAGTAATAATCTAACTTTCCAGGTTGTTTTGCCTTTTCTGAATTGTGGAGAATCTTAAGCATTGCTAGCTTGGTGGGCTTTTAGTGTTTTACTTCAACCTTCATGTCAAAACCTGTTAAAATGTTTGTCTCATTTTTTTTTTCTATTTCTAAAGATTTTCTTTCAATTTCACACATCCTGCATATTACCTGTATCTTGGAAAAATTTATTTTTTCTTTTTGAATACTTATAATATTAACTGTAAACTGTCCAGAGGCCACAATTTCAGAGTTTTGCCTTTTACAATTGGGTTAGAAATGAACATCAAGATATTTGAACACTGTTGTTTGCTTACTGAGTCAGAATTGTCCAAACTCGCATCTCAAATGATTAGATGTTCTTCTTCCAGATCTAATCCTTAGCATATTACAAATAC